CTACATTGAACGGTCGTATGCCTGATGGTGTCAGTTGCACGTATAGGTACGTGTTTATAATCAGTAAACAAGTACAAACAATTCATACCGTAATCAGTAGGTAGACAGTGTTTAGACCGACAGTTCCACTACTTTCTGGCCCAGATTTACCTTCATGACACGCCTTAGCGCCGACCTCAGACGTGGTTTGAGTCTGTATGTAACTCGAAACTTGTTTTTTGTTTTGTAAATGCTTTTTGTTTTCTACTGATAAATGGCTAGGTCGTTCGGTATCATCTAAAGGTAGCGAATCACCCATTGTCCTTATATCCCCGTGGTTCGCGACAGGGACGAAAGCAGATGATACTGATGGCATCCGCTCGAGAAAATCGATAACTATTGGGACAGCAGGTTACGCTGGTCAGTCCCCGCGAATTGCTACCTGCCCTTACTCAGAAGTAGTTACCTGGAATGTAAACCGTGGTGCTCCATTTTTACTTACAAGCGGCGCATTGCACTTTGAGAATCGGTCCTCTCCCCCAAATCCAGTCCATCATCCTCCCTTAGGGTTGGCTAGGATGTACCAGAGTTATCTTCACCATAAAAGAGCCCGATTTGATGCATGGCTCACAATTAAAGGTCTTTATTTCCCGTAGTGGGGACCGTTTCGAAGCTGTTTACATGTTTGACTAAGAAATTTTGTTTACAGAATTCGCCAAAGTGCCAATGAAACAAATCATACGGATTCGGTGACCGAACATACATTCCCGGTGTGTCGAGTGGATCGACAAAATATTCTAGTCGTTTCGGTGAAATACGTGAAATCAGAACGAATGCCTGTTCCTGTCGGATTATGCCTTACACTCGGGTGAGTTTTTTTTTCACGTACCAAAATCTTCCGTACTGATTTGTTTCCCTTATTTGATTTGCATTCCTTTGAAGGTTGTAAGGTGCCACTTCAACCTTCTCTATCAGGTTCTTTAAAAAAAATCAAAAGCTGTCATTCACAGGGCCAGGTCGGGAGCTATGACAAGTGTGTCCGTTCCGTTCGGCAGCCGCTTTTCTGCTCACTTAATCTCGTCCTTGATTTTGCGCCATCTTTCTTTTGAGCGCTGAGCTTTATGGGGAAGCTCATTATCAGGCTGTAAGTAATATCAAGGACGTCGAAACCCACAAAGCTCTTATTGCCGACGACGGTACTTGAGAACAAGCGCAGCCCCGTAAAAGAGGGACGTTAGCTGCTCTTTGAATTTTGACGGTCGGAAGAGGGGGAAAGAAATCTCCTATCGCTCCTGGGTGTGAAGCATTGCTGGCGAACACTGACTAGATAAGAATTGTAAAAGAATTGGGAAGTAACGCAGCGACGTCATGGCGAAAAGCGGCTTAGGAAGGATGTAGTAAGGAATGAAGGTCGGCTAACCCCAATGCTCCAATCGTAGTGGATGAAGTCAGCGAAGTTTAAGTCCTTTTGACACCATTTCTAGGCCGTAATTCTCCTCGTTAAGTGATAAAATTACCCATCGGGGCCTAGTTTTATTTCCAGTCTGCATATGCAGAACCAATCTTATGAACTGTGAACTAGGTGATGCATTGTCGACGTTTTTGTATACAGAGAATTGAATGTCGTGCTGTCTGAGCTCTCTTTCATACGCGTTGACACTGCGTTGAGATGGAGCCAGGCTGTAGTTGCTTTGCAGACTAATTACGTCCTTCCACGGATGTCTTTCGCCCAGCAATTCACACTCAGTCTCCTATTTCAGCTGAACACCTCTTCCACTTTGCATAATATCCATAAATAGTCACCTAATTGCACATCCTAATTGTAGTACGCCAAAATTACGTACATCTCGATTCCCAAGGGTGTGGATATCCAAAGTAATTTGCATTCAAATTTATAGCTTAACATAGTTCTGGACAGGTGGTCTTCAGCCCTTTTCAAAATGCCCCCTTTGATAGCCTTTCGAGACGCTCAGCGAGGGAATTAATCACATGACGTCCAGATTGTCCCATACATGACAAAGGGCGGTCTTGAGCGAGTCGAGACATCGATGTTGTGCAGCACAGGCTTTGCACTGCAGGCATCCCCACGTCTGGGGGTTGAAGTCCGGCAAGAAGGAGGGTGATTCTTCAGTTTAGATTAAGCTGAGCAATTTTTTGCGAAGTCATTCTTGTGAGCAGGCACAAAATGTACTAGAATATCTGATTCTTGTGGCCGTAGTGCGCTTGGCTCCCGAGTCCCATCTGCCTCTGCAGGGTCTCCTTCGAATTACATAGCCTCTACCTTTCTCTCAACCCAAAGAACGATCTCGGCTGGATAAAGGCCGGCCAGACGATCTGTCCTTTTGCATAAGCTCCGTCAGACGGCTGGGCAAGCATCCTGATGCTTTTTCAGCGAACGACAGCTTCACGAATTTTTCATCGGACATTACCCTCCCCAGATGGTGTCTGACGGTCGATAATGGAAGCGTGGTGGGGACAGTGGCTGGGAGTAAGTTTGGCCAAGAATTTCTAACTGTGGTAGCCGAACCAATCAGAGCAGAATTCGGGAGTATATCAAGTCCAATTTGATGTCCAGAGTAGCATAAATCATGTGAGATTGTTAGATTGCCTCGAAAAAGTTTTAAATGCGCTCAAAGGTGGTCCTTGATCTTAGTTACATCACTTGACCTGGAATTGACAACTCAGTTGCTCCTGAAGAGTTTTTCTATCAGAAGAGAGCCATAGCTACTGCTTAGGCGTTTTCAAGTTTTGTTTACTGTTTACTTGCAGTGCTCTACCGACTGATCAGTGGTTAGTACCGAGTCCAGTAGGATCGCCAACTGAAGACTGCCCATTGACAGCGACAACACCAGAAACGATCGCAATATCTAGGTACAGTGATCGTTCTAGATCTCTTTTCCATCCGTTTATTTGAAACTCTCCAATTTCCGGTTTTGAGTAAAGAAAAACAGCCGAAAATAATATCATCAGTTCATTAGGCATGATGAAATGCCGCTAATCGTATTTACCATCTTTATTCGCTTTTTTGTTTTTGGATATTATTTTTGGTTTATGTTCTATTTCTGGAAATTTAGTGAGCCTAAAAGGCATCAGTCTGGAAGTGGATGATGTTTGCTCGTCTAAAGTTTACATGGAGGCGCTAGTTGTGTTTGTCTTAGTCTATAGTCCTCCTGCTTGAACATATTCACAAGATCTGCTGAGAGAAATGGTCTGGGGGCCATTGGACTCGTACATGCACTTCAAGTGCTTGTGTCGGCATATCCACTTGTCGACCTACGGGATATGGCTGTACGACGCAGGGGTTGGGAACAAACGATTAGCCAGAGTAAACTGATGGACTGAGCCCTTCACTAATGGTTCTACACTACTTCCATGCTCCAAAAGTAAAAAACAGTGGATATTAATGTACCGATGAATGTGATGGAGAGGTGGTGTGGTGGCAAATAGCGCACTAAAATTCTTTGGTCCAGGGTTCGTATCCCGGATCGATACTCGCCTAAGCCAACTGAGGCAGCCATCCCTATAGGTATATTCGTAAAGGACTCATCGAGGAGGGTAAAAGCGCTGACGTACACATCGGTGGCCGCTGAAAGTCATTTTATAGGCTACAGTCGCATTCGAAAAAGCCAGAACGATTCTGACTGGAAGGCGAATGCGGGGCTCATCTCTGAAATGGGGTGGTTGACGCTGTTTTCTACGAAACCATGGATCGCATCCTGTTCACCCAAGAACATTCATAATACTAACTACTACTAATTTTGTCTGAAAAAGAAAAGCGATCTTGAAAACAGTGGTGCATACCGTGATCGTTTCGGGCGCTAATAAAACAAAGTGGGGCGACCTAACCCAGTGGTTTGCCCTTCGACTCGTCTCTATAAGGCTATATTTAGCTGGTGGTGTTTTTTTCCAAAATATTGACTGTCACGGAACGTCCTGCTCTCATCATTTAATAGATTCATACACGTCATTTCTGTTGCTTTTCAGGGATCCAGCTCTCTTTTGGTGGTAGCTAATAAATTTTGCGCTAGTCTGTTTTGAATGGTTGGCCCCTGGTGTCTTATCGATGCGGCTTGGTCCCATGAGCCTCTTTTTGGCACAGAGAATCTCGGAATTCGGTGAAGCTCCACTTGCTCTTCAAGTCATTTGAGAGTGAAGGGCTAACTTGAGTGGCATTAGATCGTAAAGTCTTCAGTCCGGTAAGTTATTCTGGGCTCATGGAGATTTTCGAGACGAATGGCACGACTTACAATTTGTATTGTGAGTAATTAGTAAGTTGTGAAAAAGACTAGCAGTGACTCTCCTTTTTCAGTCTGAAGCATAAACCACGGCCGTCGTTATCGCCGCCCAGCACAGATGGTCCGTCGCCAAAATTTTCTGCCATCGCTGGTGTCGATGATGAGGTAGTAGCTGAACAACCACCTTATAGTAATACTTTCGTCTAACAGAACTTTTAAGCGTCCTGCTCGTCGAGTACTGTCGGCTTCTGTGTTGTCACCTCAAGAGGAAAGCCGATACGACTCCCACGAAATCGACATCCTAGCCAGTCGCCTGCAAACGATTCAAGGTGAACGAGGGCGACAACGGACAAAAAGTGGTGGCTCATTATTCAATAAGGTAAGTATGATTTCAGTTGGATAAACCAAAAGCAGGACGGGTTAGCAGATCTTTTCAGATCACTGGACTGCCATTACATTCGAGTCCAGCGCCTTTATCCCGTCAAAGAAAGTACGGGTACTGAAAACGCTTTGTGTAAGAGCGGGGCTGTAGGGTTACTCTGAAGCAATTCTTGTTTTCCAGCAGTCTGTCAGCCTCCGATATTGTACTGCCGGAATCACGCCTTCCACGTCATCAACCTGGTAGTCTTCTGGGAAATTTCGAAGAAAGCGCTCTTAATGGCCGACTTGATCCCGTGAAGAAACTTGACGGTTTCAAATTACAATTAGGTAAGTGAACCTGAAGTGCAAGTTTATTCGTAACAGTCTGTCACGCAGTGCACTATTTGAATGAGACGATAGCAGACCGTGAGAGTTGATTGTGGAGATAAAGGAAGAAATCATGGAGAGGGCTTTAGCTATTTAGTCAGTAATCTGGGTAGCGTTCTACTCCTTTTCACCTTGGCCTTCTACCTTCTTGTACGGTGCCGTTTTCCCCTTTCTCCCGCCTTTGCCTCCCCACGTTTTGTAGCTTTAGCCACACCCCATCCTGATGTTTCCTGTTGAGTGTGTTAGAGCTGGTACAGTACATCAACTGACGGAAATTTTAATACTGATTTTCACTTTATACCGAAGTTGGGGGAGAGGAAGGTGTGGGAGGGAAAAACAGACCAACAGCCAGGGACAATGGATGAATCAACTTCGGAGGGCTAGAGTTGATACAAAACGGCAAATAGGAGCAGTGGGAAAACCCCTAGCGAAATAGGATGCTCTGAAAACTTGTATCATGAGAATTCGCTTCGTGTCGCCGTGTAGGACAAATGAGTTAATAACTGGTATTACTGTATATGCTCATGAGATAATAGAAAACATGATAACCGTTAGAAGGTTTAGAAAGAAAGAATGTTAGGAACTTCATTTCAGCCGCAACCGGTGCCTTTTCGTCTCCACATACTTCATTATCTGTCACAGCCTACTTTTTCGACCTTAACGATAGTGAAACGGCTCCATCGCCTTACTTGGTGAGTGTTTTCTTCTTGAGGGTATCATAAGCTCACAGGTTCACAAGTGCTTGAAGACCTGCTAAACCTATCAGTTTATCACGGTAGCAAGGTTCATGCCGGTCGTGTGGGCGGGGCTACCTCTTACAGCCTGCTATGCTTTTGATATGTGTACCACAATGAATGCCTTATGTGTAAATGCGACTTTCAAAGGATAGTGTGATGTTACCCAGAAGCTCTATTTACTCATTCAGCTTTGACTTTGCCTCGGCTAGTAATGTTGACTTTATTCGATATGAATATTCAGGGCACATGCTCGTTAGAATCACTTGGAAGGCGAGGCTATCGTATTCCAAAACAGGGAACAATTCAAGCTGTATGTTTTGGAATCAATTGACAGATTTTCTTTCTAAACCAGTTAATAGAAGACCAGTTACAGTATTATCGCTCGAACTAGCAATTTTCAGACACTCTTCAATCCTCAGGATACAGTGGTGAAAGTGTTTGTAGTTACATACGATATGTCTGATATGCCGCCATCGTCACAGACGTTTATACGTCAAAGAACATTTCTTGGAACGGATGAGAATTTGAAGGCGGAAAAACATCTTGTCAACTTAATACACTTCCGGTAAGTGATGTGCTTAAGAACGATCACAGTCAAGTTTATGTCGCGGAAACTGCTGCAAGAGGGACCAGTCGTTTAGCTGATATGGAGGGGCCTATTTGAAAAGATCTGCGGAAGTTTTTTTTTCCGTTTTT